TTTGTGCAGCTAATTGTGGACACTCTTTACATTAAATTAGATTATATAATTTACAATCAAATATAATAAATTTCTCCACTGTTACTATGAGGCATGAAATACACTGATTGACCAATGGACTTACTAGCAAACTGATTGCCTGCATTATTGACTGGATAATGGGGTGAGTCACAGAGTAATCAAATAGGTTAATTGATTGGATTATTGACTAATAAATTCATAGGCTAGGAGATTGAATGACTGATTGAATGATAAACAGTCAACTGATTAACTTATTGACTGGCTAATGGTGATTGTACAATTTGTTTCCCACTACTTCAACTGCCTGACAGGTTGAAGAAGTGGTTAATTGATCGGCTGGATAATTAATTGGACAATTCAGTCATTGGTGGATTTACTGACCTGCCAGTCAACTGATGAATTACTTGACTGGTGGACTGATTGGATTTTTGGCTGACTTATGGATTGACGGACAGACTGATTAGGTGATAAACATATAGTCAGCAAAGGAAAATAATATTTCCCAAATGGATCATGTTTCTTCTGTGGTTGGTTTAACACACTGAGCAATTTCCTTGGATGAAATGGACATCCTGTCCTCGGATTGCTTTAGCGTAAGTATGCATGACAACTGTCCCTGAACTCTTGCCAGAGAGAGCGTAGCATTTCATGACAGAGAGGGGGATGGGTTTAAAGTGTTTAGCAGGCTAGCTGTTAATAAGTTAACTTTTATTTTTTACACAAATGCATTTAGTTGGAAACTGAAAGATGTCCATTGCTTTTGCAGGTCAGATGCCAACAGAGTTTAAGTAGAGCAAATCTATGGTCAGTTATTTTAAGTAGTGCTCAATGTTTTATTTTGCAATCCAGCTCTTGGGGGAACTAGATAAACAAAGCTCTTGACTCACTCAAATATGGACACGATGAGCTCACAGATAGTTATTTCAAAATCAGTGTTCGAATGGTATACACAAGATGCCTAAAAAAAATTCTAGAACAAATGAAGTCAGTAGGTGTCATTTTTCAAAGAATTAATTTCACTAAGATTTTTCTAGTACAAG